GACGATTTCGACTTCTCGCTTGCGTTTTTTTTACAGTCTGCTGTACAGTAAATACCTAATCTTGCGTTATAATTATTATCAAGTATTTTATTGTATTATAATATAATTATAATACAGCAAAATATAATTACATAATATAATTATAATGCAACAAAATACTTGATAATAATTATCAGTATTTCGCTGTTATATATGGACCTGAAAGCTACTTTTTCAACAGAAACTTTAATATACCTGGCTTTTTATTCAACTGCAATGTAAAAATGGACCAATTATAAATAAGTAGAACTTTGGAAATTATAATAATGTATCTTAAAAGTATACTGAGAATACAGCACGGTATGCAACGTAATATTGATTAAAACAATATTATAGGTTTAAATTACACAATATTCGTTCGTATGGTGCTGTATATATCTTTATTAACATTTTTTTGTTTGTTATTTCTTACATTTTTTAGAGTTATACTTATTGACTTTCAAATTTTATTTATTTAAACCACAATGGGTGAATGAAAGTTTAACGTTGTATTAAAGTTGTTGATCAAAAAGTAGTTTTCAGTTCTTCTGTATATATAGCAATAAAATGGCAGATTTCAGGTCATATACATTTCTACTGTCTGCAGTAAGATTTTAATTTATATTAAATATTTTGTTGCGCACTATGTATCACGCGAACGTTCGAATAAATATTGAGTTCATGCAATGCAATATTAATTCAAACGTTTATATTATGCAATAGAAAATTAATAATCTGAAATCTGCCATTTTGCTGTTATAAGCATATATTATAGACTTGAAATCTACCTTTCGAACAGAAACTTTAATATCTGTCCTTAACCTATTGAGATGAAAAAGAATCCAAATACATATAAATAAGCAGGGCTTTTATAAATATAATAAATAACGTATCGTGTCAAAGCTAATAGGAATAACATCCAGCACGTAGCGTGCAATTTAATATTAATTAAAACATATTTAGCTTAAATTAATATTAATTTAATTATATTTGAGTTTACATTACTCGATATTCTTTTGTACAGCGCTGTATTTTTGTTAGTTCTTTTGATTTATTCATTAAATTTTTATGGGTTTATTGTTATGTATGTTTGGATTTATTTAAGTCACAATGAATGAGTAAAAGGTTAGACGTATTAAAGTTGTTGATTAAAAGATAGTTCTTTAGTTCGTATAGCAACAAAATGATAGCTTTTAGACCATTTACTTTTGTATTTCTTTATTATTATATTCATGTTTCATTAATTTTATTTTGTTAACCAATTATGTAAATGTCATAATTTTTCTGTATTGTCGATAAAAACTGTGCAATTGAAACGTTTAATCTTGTAAATTTTATGTATGAAGATTTCAAATGTATATAAACATCGTCCATCGTT